GGTAGAGGCCTACGGACACGTCAGCCTGCTTGACGGGGCACTCACGGACATAGTGACCAAGCTGTCCACAGTAGCGGCAGGTGTCGTTGGCCCCCGCGGCGCCCGAGGCGCCGGCAGCACCGCGGACTCCACGGGCGGTGCGACCAGGGCCGACAGCTCCAACCAGGCCGGACTTGACTGCTTGAGCCTTCAAATTGTTCTCCTTCTCCCGCAGCATGAACACGAGCTGCGGGGTGGTCAGGTTAGGCAAATACATTGCGAACTCGACTGTGATAGCGTATTGTGGAGGCAGACCGTGGAGAATAGCATGTCGCATAGCAGCCTCGTCCCACTGGCCGCCCGCCGAGATAATGTCGCTGCGGAGCTGCTCCGCCCGCTGAATGAAGTCAGCGGTCGTCTCGTCGTCGCCCATGCGCAGTTGCTTCTGCGGCTCCAGCAGGCTTAGCCCGGCCTGAGAGGCAGAACGGAACTGCAGCTGTAAGAGCTGCATGGCGGCGAGAGTCGTCTGACAGTTCCTGAGCAACTGCTTTACTGGCAGTTCGCAGGAAAGACGCAGGTAGCCAAGCGCCTGGGCATCTTCCTCCAGAGCGTCTTGCGCATTGCGTCCCGGTGGCGATGGGTTGGTCATATAGCTCCGCAGCTTGGATGTAGCAAGGAAGTCACCGAAGTCTCCTAGCCACTGTGAGTAGTTAGACCCGTCCGCTAAGAGGACGGTCTTACACCCTTTTCCCATGTCGGTTGCCTAGCGAGCCTCCCTGCTCAAGCTAAAAGCAACTACAGATATTAACCGCCGGGAACCGTTACCCGGGGCTCATAACCTGTTGGTGAGACGCTATCTCACAGGGACCTAGCAGACACGACTAAGGAGACATTAGCCGTTACACGTATTCGGGAGATCCGCGACCTACCACCGAAAGCCCCTTTTCCTAGGCGTAAACGTGTGAATCTGAGGTACTGTTACCGATAAACAGCAGAGACTTATAAAGGCTTGGAAAGCCTATCCCAAAGGACGAGAGCTATCAGTACGCTAGAACCTAATAGCCGTTTTGACGGGCCTCCCGAG